ACACACACACACACACACACACACACACACACACACACACACACACACTATACACTATACACAGGTCCTTCTCAAAAAATTAGCATATTGTGATAAAGTTCATTATTTTCTGTAATGTACTGATAAACATTAAACTTTCATATATTTTAGATTCATTGCACACCAATTGAAGTAGTTCAAGCCTTTTATTGTTTTAATAGTGATGATTTTGGAAAAGAAGTAAAGAAAAATCAAAAATCCCCCTCCCCAAATGGCAGCTGGGGAACGGGGGGTGGAAAAGACCCCAACACACACACCCACCCCCAGATGTTCTGTTGATGCGTGTTATTCTATAGAGCAATTAAAATGGTAAAGAGGAAGAGGTAGAGGCCAGCATGGTGCCAGTTTCCCCTCCACCCCTACTCTAACCCAAAACCCYAAGTGTCTACATGCAACCCTTGGGAGTGGGCACAGGCACAGGCGGCGAGAGTTGTACCATCCCGCCACCCATAGCCACTGAGTGCCCAACCCAAGTTGCTTTATGTAAATGTCATGAAAATGTTAAGAGTGAATGTCTAAGATGTACAATAAAATTTGGGCCCTGGTGGTTATGGCAAACGGAGATGTAAAATTGTTGCTCTTATAACATACCTCCGACAGAGCAAGGAGCACCGAGAGTGGGCTCCCGCCACAACAAAGGGGCCAACCAGCCGACCCAGCACAGCTCCCAGCCAACTACACAGTCCCCACCCCAGAAGACATACTACACCCACCCCAACATTTGGACTACTCTCAGAACAAATAGCACACAGAAAMCCAGGCTGGGTCAAACCACCCCCTCCCACTGGCCACATGCCATGCCCCCAGCCAACCCACACCCCCCAGCCCATGGGACCCGCAGCCTACCGGTGCACCGAAGGCACCCAGCCCAGAGCCGGGCACCAGGGCACAAATTGGCCCAGAGCCTGGCAACCTGCCCAGCACCCTGCCCCCCAGAGCACAAGCCCCCCCAGCCCCACCAGGGCCACAGCCCAGAGGCGGCACGCCCCCAGAACCCCAAGGCCCCCCACGCCCACTCCGGACCAATCCCAGCACAGCCAGTCTACCAGACCAGCAACCCACAGCTGCCGCCCGCATGCAGTCACCAGAAGACATCCCCCAGAACCGCCAAGGTCCTCCCCAGAGCGAGAGCTGCATCACCCTACCCAGGAACCCCCAGCGGCCAGCCCCCGAGAACCCCCCAACTCCCCAATTACTCCCCCACCAGCCCCAATACCCCACAAGGTCCGATCCCAAACCCCCCACCCTCACTATTGTATATTATATGTGATGAAACCAATCAAAGGAGCCCAAAAAGACTGATCTGATGTGGCGGCAGAGGCTGTTTCAAGACTAATATGATCTAACAGAAGATTAATGCTAGGATCATTTTCGTTTTTCCAATTCAAGAGTATGGTTTTCTTTGTGATGCATAAGGCAGTGAAAAATAATAATTCTGGAAGAAATTTTTGAAGGATGGGGCTCTCATGAAAGCTTTTTTAAAACAAAATTCCATTGCTGAATATCTGTAAACATTTTCACAGTTTTTGGCAAAGGTTGTTTATCTTTGGTCCACTGCTACCAAAACTTATCTCTGATTGAGATACATATTCTCAGATGTTTTTCAATGCTTATGTGTTGGCCCTCCTAATTATACTGCATTACTAGAAAAAAAAAAGTCAGCATTTCAGTGTTCTAACATAGAGTCTTCATTGTGCTGCTATTCATATCAAACCTGACATTTTCTAATTTCTTGTTCAGGAGAGAATGTGGCAGTTTATGGAAAAGCTTCACAGTCAACAGTTTATCCCGCAGCCATTGCCTACAACGCTATAGATGGGAATCGTGGCCTCTGGGACCAGGGTTCTTGCAGTGCCACAAACAATGACTTCAACCCCTGGTGGAGATTGGATCTGGGCAGAACCCATAAAGTGTTCTCTATTAACATAACCAACAGGGCAGAACATCCTGAACGAATAAAAGGTGCTGAAATTCGCATTGGAGATTCACTTGATAACAATGGAAACAACAATCCCAGGTAGGGAACACATTTTTATTATTAAAAAACTGCTTTACAAATAAACAAAAATCTCAGAATGACATTATTTCTGTTTATTAATTTGCAACAATTGCATTCCTTAGTTCTACTGATTCCCGGACATAAAATTTATCTCTCTCACAGGTGTGCTGTGATCTCAAGCATCGCTCCAGGTTTTACCGAAACCTTTCAGTGTGATGGGATGGACGGTCGATACATCAACATTGTCATACCTGGAAGAAAAGAGTACCTGACTCTGTGTGAGGTGGAGGTGCACGCCTCCAAACTGGATATCGTTTCAAAATGCTAATAAAAATATGACAAAATTTTAGCTTTGAACCCATAAGAGGCTGATGTGTTTGACTCATGTTGGAGTTAGTCTGACCATTAACGCCAAGGATGGGAATCACAGAAACAACTCTCACACACATAAAACTGTCACCTCAGCCAACTGAAAATGCATCCAAACAAGGTTGAAGGTGATTTAAGTCAAAATACAGTTTTTATTGACTGGTTTGACCTGTTTGAAGGAACTGGGAACCTCTCTGTCTTCGTCATCACCATCTCAGCAGAGCAGAAGACACCTCTTGCAATGTGTAAACCCATTCTCATTGGATTGACACAGTTTTTCACCCTTTTGCAAAACAGTTTATGCAGATGTTATTCAAGAAGTCCAAACTCTCTTTAAGCTGTCAGTATGAAACACCAAAAGCACCTGTTTGACACTTCTTCACAGAATTTTTCAATTTGCAATCAGTCTGCAGGCCTGTGTTCTTTGCAAGCATGGATCGAGGAGGTCTAAGGCAGATGAGAGGTAGAGTGAGAGTAAGAGGCAGAGGGGTCAGAGGAAGAGGAGTCCATGTGCGAGGTGGAGGTAYAGTTGGAAGGGCCCAGGTTACAGCTGAAATTCGGGCAACTGTGATTGATCATGTCGTAAATCATGGCCTTTCACTTAAAGAGGCTGGACAAAGAGTCCAACCTGTTCTAAACAGAAACAYTGTTGCATCCATTGTTAGAATTTTTCAACAGGAGAACAGGTGATGTTGAYATAYAGTATRTACAGAAATATCTGCAGTRATATACAGTACTTCATGTAATTGTTTTTCCACATTTCATGTATTCTTTATAGAATCAAAAGGCTGGATTTCCAAAATGGCTGCCAAATCTTCTTTTTGGTCATGAAAACATGGGTTTAAACACCAAGTTCATGGATTTATTTAGATCAAAAATGAAATTAGAAGGCATAATGGGCATTCTGGYAGCCATTTTGAAAATTGTCCCATAAAATTCAGCAAAAGAGAAAAAGGAAGCCACAAGCCAAGTTCAGATTATCTTTAAAATCCCCATGGAATACAGCCAGCAGAAAAAAAAATCAACCATAAATACAGTAAATACAAATAATAATAATAATGATAATAAATAATAATAAAATTGCCTGGGCTTTCTTAAAGGATCTGTTTTTGTGAAGAGTAGTGATGTTATTTAGTGGGACATTGTGGTGTACCGGTATATGTTTTTTGTTTTTCTGAGTCAATAGCACATGAAAAAGTAAGAAGATATTCAATAAAACAGCAATAAAACATTTTCATAAAACTACTGTCCATGTTAAAATTTCTTAATTTACAATAAAAGTGCACACGTTGATGGACTTTCTTGCGTAGTGTCCACATGTTTAGCAAAAGAGAGTTTATTGTAAATTACGGTACACAGAATTTTATTTTCTTCTACAACTTCAGCTACCTGATCATTAATGTACACAGGAGAGATTGCATTTTTGTTTTTCCTGAAATCAATAATAACTTTTTGGTTTTACTGACAATTATGTCTAAAAAGGATGACTWACACCAGTTAACAAAAAGTGACACCRCAGGGCCATGATCAGAGTCATCTGWTTTTAAAAGAGACACAATGACGGAATCGTCAGCAAACTTTATRCCATCCTGTGAACTGGCTTTGACACATGTTAATGTATAAAACAAATAAAAGGAGGGAAAGAACACAACCCTGTGGAGAACCAGTGGAAGAGAGTAAAACATCAGATGAAACATAATTGACCCTGACATGTTGGGTAGTTAAAAAATCCATCAACCACCATGAGACCAGACCTGATTCAATGTTATGTGTACTTTTTAACCTGCCTGCTAAAATATGTGTATGAAATTAAAAGCAGAAGAAATATCAATAAAAACAAGACGTGCAAAAGTATTAACTGTCTCAAGGTGTGAAAGAACCAAGTTCAGTAAAGTGGATACAGCATCATTGTGTGATAATCACACACATATAATTGTGTGAAATGTGTTTACACAATTATAAAAAAGTAATGTTTACTCTAAGAGGGCATTAAACTTTGGTAAAAAATTTACCAGCAGGTCTTGTGATGCCTTCTGAGTCAAGAGGCGTAGACAGCACAGTGCGATATGATTGGATCATTATGGCAGTAAAAAGCCACGTACCAGACCTTGTTTGGGAAAATTTGGGACTTTGGGTAAGTACCTCAACTTTTTATTTCTCTCACTTTGCATCATGTTAATGGTCTTAAGCTAAATTCATCTTCATCTCCATAACTTAGTGAAAATATGAAAGCAGTAAATGATCAGATCATCATCTTCCATKTAGTTCTTAAATAAATTAAAAATTAGTGTAAGTTTGTGTTTTTTAAAATAAATCTGTGATCTTTATCTGTTTCAACATGCACTGAAAATACTTGTAACACAGTTTATTAAATGCTTGTTTTGTCAGTTTTACCCAGAAAAACCCAGAAAAATGAAACACTCAGTATTCCTTCATTTGCTGCTCTTCTTGCCAGCATACTCAGCTTCCAATTACCGTAAGTATACTGCAAAAAATATGTCTACTTCTGTGAAAAGTAGAAACCTTTCATGGCAAATAACATTTACTACAGCTGCCATAATAAACATTCTATTTAAAAGGTGTCTTTGAAACAGACCACTAGAGGGACATCCTTACCACAGCTGTTTTAACAACACTGTATTTGGAAACCATGTTTTTATAAGTACATATACAGTATAAGTAACAAATACAGTGTGTGTG